CATCCACCTCCTCCAGTTTCTCGATAACATCAAGCACAAGCAGAACAGGCACAAGCACAAATTCCAGCACATCCTCCAGCACGTCAACAAGCACCAGCACATCCTCAAGCACGTCAACAAGCACCAGCACATCCTCAAGCACGTCGACAAGCACCAGCACATACACCTTTCCACCTTCAAGCGCTGACGCTGCTGCCACTGAGCTAGTGCAGCTCTACGTCCCAAAAGGACACCACCCAACTGCTTGCAGCCGGTTTTTGAAAAGAAAAAGCGCCGATTACGGCGACCTGTGTGTGTCAACCCCTGTGCCAAAGGGTTCACTGCCAACTTCTACCTTTTTCACAGCAGGGGGCCATCCCCCTCCCCAGTGGCGGATGGCCAACGAAGAGGCCACTGGGGGGGGCTGCAAACGTACCTGCTACAACTGTTGAACACGCAGTCCAATTTGATCAGTTTGATTCATGGTCCTTCATGATACCTACCCCTTAAACTTTTTTCTTTTGCCGCCGTCAGCTGCGCCGCTCGTTTTCGCCACCGCCGACTTGAGAAACAGCCTTTGTTCAAACACCTTCAACTTTTCGGACCTTTCACCCTGCCGTTCCTTCGCCATTTTTGACCTGGGAACTGAGTTAACTGAAAACCAATGTCAGAGTGTGTGAACACAACGTTTTACCACTCCCCGTGATGCACCCACTACCATGTTCTCAGGTTTAGATCGATTGGCTTGTGTTGCAAATCCGAAACGTTCAAACACAACGTTTCGCTTGGTTGCCGGCGTTCTAGTTTGAGGGGAATAGTAGTATTCAGTGAAGGCATTCTTGGAAAACAGGCACTCAAAAATTTCAACGGTTTTGGGACAGACGTGTATGTTTACCACCAGAACTTTGTGAGAAGGTGTTTTTTGGGGGTTGATGGTCTACTTCTCCAAACGTGATCACATCACATCATAGCCCAGACAATCCATTTGATAGAATGTTTTCCCCAATTGGGGTATTCTTCAGAGCCCATGTAGGTCAATCTTGCGGCCAGCATGTCATAGATGACTCTGGAAAAATAAACGGCCTGGAGGTGTGAAGGACCTTCCAGGTAGTCTAACCCGCAAGTTCCAGTCTATGTAACATGTAACGACCTTCAGCTTGTCAACCCCACACTACATGGAGTTTTTCACTACATTTGATGCTCCTTCTCTACGGCCTGGTCGCTCTTTAGGGGTCGCATCGTATCTTCGCGCGCGCGGGCACGTGGTCCCGACGCGCGCGCGAGTCCCCAGGGCCTTGAGCGGAGAAGGGGCGTCCCTCGGAGTGGGGGTGCCCGGAGGCGTCCCTTCGGATGGGGACGGTTGGTGAAGCCCAGAGAGGTATTCAGTGACCGTAAATAGGGCCTTACACTGAAGTACCCAACTGGGATAGTCGAACTAGGCCTCTTCAACCTCTGTCGGAGACGGTTTGGATCCCTCCGTCCGCGCAGACGGTCATCATGGACCCAATCGGGAGAGAAAGCAGCACTCTTTTGGAGTCGTGCAGATTGCGTGGAATGAATGATTCTCAGTGAGAGACTTGGTGAATCTTGGTTGGCTGAGAACGGCTCAAAGGCCGTGCAGGATTGACCTGGATGGACCTGGTCACTACCCCCAGCTGTGCAGCACAAAGGCGCGGACGCCAACCTTTAGAGGTCTGAACATCCAAAGATCTATTGGCCTAGACTCCTTGGTGACCTGTGAAACACATGAATGGTTGGTTGCTTCGGAAGATCCACAATTTTCTTTCAATTCACATTCAGCAAGGGGAAAAACAAACTGGAGGCAGGTGGTAAATGATAAATTGGAAAGGCTAGGAGCATGAGGACACCCTCCATTTTGGCAGGCTACTGTACTGAGGGATCGGATAGATCTTTCCATATCTTCCTTTGTTTGGGGTCCAAGTGTTCAACTCGGTGTTGATCTACCCTCCATAATCTGGGCTCAGGTGTCTGCAAGCATATCCGTAGCATATTCAACCTCCATGGTTGGAGTAAAAAAACACAACATAAAGCAAATCCCAGTCCCCAGAAAGAGAAGTCGCTGGCTGGTTGGAGTAAAACAAACACATCAAGCTGGGCGGTAGGTGGCCGCCGGATGTTTTTCTTCTGTTCGTTACCATCCGAGGTTCCGCCGGATGAGGTGGCACGGCTTCTGGAGGTGTGGCCGGAGGAAAAGGCGCGGGTCGGAGGAAACGGGCGGCCATGGGCGGTACACGACCGGAGCCTTAAGATTTAAGGGAATGGCATGGAACATTCAGAGGAAATGATCCCATGGTGTTTCCTGGGAATGTTTCACAGTCCGCCTTTTCTGCACTGCAGCTGGAGAATCGTGCTAAGACGATCTTCCCTGACCCAGAGAACATTTGAGCGACCCATCCAGTTTTAGCGAAGATCAGGACATGTGGGCAGGTGCGAATTCCCCATCCCAATTCCGTGGCCGACGGGTGCACAATCCATGTGTTTTTGGTTCAGGTGACAAAAAGTGCATCCATCCCCGGCATGCCAGGAATCCATGAGGAACCAACCAAGATTTGGGTTCTAGGTTTGTACAAAGCACAGAGCTAACAGAGCTATGTGTTTCTCATTATGATTACCTTTCAACACTTTAACTTTAGCATCATACACATTGTTTGAACAACGAAACAAGTATCAAGTGTGTTTCCTAGGGTCCTAGTACCTTGAACCCCCCCAAACCACGGTGTACATTTGTTCTTCACTACATTGGAAGACCAATGTTCCTCAAATGTTTGGTCAGACTAAATATCCTCACTGCTCCCACCGGGCGAAAACGGATGAACACGGTGGAAAACGCAGGTCCTAGCCCCGTTGGTGGCCTTTGCCTCCTCCGGCAGTGACCCTACGTGGGGTGGCTGAACCGGACTGTTCGGTGGAAAGGGACGTCGAATGGGGACGATCTTCATTGATGATGCTTTTGCGATCATGTCGTGTCGAACAGACTCTTCTCTTTGGGCGACCTTCATTCACGAAGGTCGCACAAAGCAACAAGCCTTTACCAGGGTGGGCGGGTGGGCGCCGCAGAACTGGCACTGCAAACGGCAACTCGCATCCACCACTCTGGACTCAGACAAGTGACAAAGGTGCTGGCCTCAATACCACAAGACAAGATGTAGTTGGCCTTTGCTGTTTCATCTTGTTTCTGTGTTTTGGCGCAATTTCCCTGCAAACCCATCGTTCCACAAGTTGTCAATTCCTTTTCTTGATGCACCGGCGCCGGCGCTGTTCCAGCCCGTTGAATACACTGAAATCTCCTTGGAGCAGGTTGCGATATTTAATAGAGACCCTGGGGTGTCCGCGTTACCTTCAAGAAACAGCACCATCCATCTCACTTTTTTTTCATTCTAGATTGCTTAAATTAAATGCCAATTCGTTCTCTGGAGATATGTACATGTTAGCCCTCTTCGCATGGGACCGTTTGGGTGCATCCATTGATCTCAATTCATTCATTTTGTGACACCATGTGCTTATCGTGTGGCTTATCCCCGTAGTTCCAGGGTTTTGTTTGTATGTCATTCCCTACAAGTCTAAACATGTCTAAACAAACAGTAAAACCTGGTTCTTTACCTCGATGCTTGAGTAAATATTAAATATATTATAGTGTTTTTGTACCAACTCAGACTCCAGTAAAATCATGTCTTTGCCCTCGCAGGGATTGTGTTGTGTTCGCCTCTGGAAAGCCCTGCTAATCGTGGAAGGGTCCCTGTGTCTTGGAGCGAAACCTCCGCACGTCCAAGACCGTCTCCACAGCTCTTTAGCTTTGTCAACAGTTCTGCTCAAGAGGCATCACCTGGCATTCCAATAATTACCCCCCAAAGACTTTGGATGGAACAGTATTGAATACTATATATAGATATCTATAGATTAATCTATACATTATATGAATGTGTTTTCTTATTGGAGGCCACAACGATCCTCTAGTAGACAAAGTATTCCACACACCGGTCACCACCCCCGGGGTGTCGATGTTCCGCCCCGGTCCACCGGGGCGTCCGGTCCGCAACGGGCGGGCGCCGACGGCGACGTCCGAGGCCCCTCAGAGATGTGGAGAAGCAGCTCTTGCCCCTCTTGGCCAGCTGGCACGAGCGATGACTGAGCGAGGTCGTGTCGGATCCTTTGTTTCATCTGTTTTAATAGCATGTTGATCGAGTTTTCGCAAAAACATCCAACATCCTATGACGTGCGGTGAAGCCAGATGTGTATATAAACATGTATATAAACTTGATGTTGGGGAGAATTGATGAAAGAAGCCTCCTCCGCTTGGGGTGGGTTGGCCTTTTTCAGACTGCCGGTGTGTTTTTCTGGACGATCTGAGCCGGGCAGCTGGCCTGGGCCATTACGATTTTTCTCGGGAGACGACCCCTTTCCGCCTGGACCAATCCAGAGATGATAAGACCCGAAGACGGTCTGCCTACCGCCCGCCGGTTCGCCGCGTCGCCGCGGTTTGAGCGGCTGAGAGGATGGAGATAGGGCCGGCCTGAGGAGCTGAATAGATTGAGAAGGTGTGGCCGAGACCGACCGGTTGATCATGGAAAATGAACAGAATAGAATCGACGACTAAGAAGATCAACCTACCAGGCTTAAGGGCTCGAGGTTCTTTTTTCCACTGCCATATCCACATTTGGGTTGCTCTTGGAAAGATCAGATCTAGTCACCAAGCATATCCCAGAATCACCTCACTTCGGCTCACTAAAAATACAAAAACATTGACACTAACTATTATCTCAGAATAGGTCTTGGCATCCTGGAAGAGTGTCTAGTCCAGGCAAAAGGTGTGCGGCTACGAACCATATACATTGCAATAGTTTCTGGGCCAAAGCCACGCGTTGCGAAATCTGCAGAAGAGGCAAGTACATTTTTTGACTGCTTCCTTTCCAGCACCCAAAGAAAGAAACGTGACCTTTGAAGAGAAGCGGACACTGAGATACAAAACCTCGCAAAACCTTGGTTTGAAGTCACTCCGGGGTACTTGCACCTGGACACTCCAAATACCATCAAATACCTCTATCTAACCTATTATGTCTTAGTGAAGGCGTTACTTGACCAATCCTGTTTTCCACTGTCAGCTACCCAGGAACTATTCCTGGAGAAGGCCGAACTAGTTCCCAAGGGTTTTGGGAATAGTTCCCAGTTACAACAGACAAACAGGCCCAAGCACACACTAAATTGTGTCTTATTCTTTCTTATTCCTCATTTTGCACTTCATCTTCCTTCCTTCTCCGGTCGAATACTGTGATCCCTCTCAGGCGATCCCCCGCGTTCGCCAGCGCTTGCGGCTCCTGGTACTGGCCGGCACGGCCGAGAAGCGTGTGGGAGAGGCGACTGGGGCGACCGCTGCACGCACCTGCAGGTCGACCTGCGACCGAGGACCACGTTGTTGGGATCAACATTCTTTTGATTGACCAGTTTTGCCATGGGTTTTCCCAGGCTGAAAGCGCAGAATTCCTGGTTTCTTCCATGGTCTAGCTCCTTCGTCGGCGCTCTCAGGGAATTGCACAGTTGCAGCTTCTCCGCAGGGCCTGCTACGAGATCCAGGACTGGAAAGCCAGACTGCCGGGCGTCGGTTTCACCGGTTGGACCGAACTACAGCTGTTGAAACCCTAGGCATAGTATCTTGTCAGGTGACTGGAGACACTGTTATGTACGTGCCAGGAGGGTCCAAGTACCTGCTGAGGTTCGGTACGACTGGATCCCTAGGGAAAGGAATTCTTTGGTTCCTTTTTGGTCACCTCATGGGCAAAAGAAGGGATGGAACTAACTTATATATAAGAATGATCTTCTGAGGTGGAGGGCGCAGGAGCCGTTTTGACCTATTTTGGGGTTACCAATAAGGCATAAGGCACAGTATTACAATTATTACACAGTATTGCCATTGACCTTGGATTTTGTGGCATTTCATCCTTTGACCACGGTGTCTTGCACCCATATCGACCCCAAATCCAATGCTGGCTGGCGTCGTGTGGTTTGGAAGTCTCTTTAAGGAGCAGCCAGGGCTTGCACGGTCAGTGATGGAAGAGTAATTGGCTGGATCATGTTGGATCTATTATACACACACACACACACACAGCAGGCCAGGAATACTGAGGACTTCCAGTTTCTCTGCGAATTGTCGGATGGATCAGCAAGTCTCGCTCAGAACTCCTCCTTGCTCCGGGAGCTTTTGGCCATTATCGTGCTGCCCGGAAAGCCCAGAACCGGACGCGTGTCTTCTTTCCCAAACTGCTTGGAAGCCGTCAAGGAAGAGCAGCTTCGCCACGAGCTTCGGTGGTCAAGGGGGGTCGAAGTCAAGGGAGATACACTCTGACTCACTAACATGGAAGTGGAAAATGACCCCTTGGAAGACGACTTTCCTTTACAAACAGGAGGTTTTCCACTTCCATGTGAGTGAGTCGAACTCAGTCGGAGTGTATTCAATCTTCACACGCAGTTCATGACCTCTTTGGAGGGACGGACGGTGATTTGCTGCGATGGCATCCAAGTGTTCACCGTTCCCAGATCACCAACCTGACTAGGCACGTCTGACCACGCGATGAAACCGTTTGCTAAAGCTATTGTGCAATCTGCTTGCTGCGGTATGCCCAATTGGTCAAGTTGTAACAACCAGTTGCTTCAGTTCTTTGTTTTTTTTTTTTTTTTCGACAGTTCACGTTTCAGGGTTTCTGGGGTTTTCGCATCTCACAAGACCAACCCGGAGAGCATTTCACAACGAGTGAACCACCTCAGAGTGCCCCTTTCATTCACCGGATCTCTACAACCCCTCGAGCATCATTCAGAGTACCCCTTAGAGGAACCCAGTCAGCCACTCGTAGTAAGGAACTGGAAATACTATAGGTCTATGGTTCAAGTCAGAACCACTAGGCATACCTGGAAAGAAGAAGAGCCACGGGGACCTGGGGCAGGAATTGCATTTGTTCCTGTCCCAGCGGTCGAAGGGTAGATTGGTCATCAAGGGTAGATTGGTTATACTAACGTGTACATATACATGATACAGAAATATATATTACACTTTATTACATTCTATTTGACAAGTGCAATACGAATCCTCTCGTGATGCGAACGAGGCTCTTCAACTATGTGAACTTCGGAGCCGCCCCACCGTCAGCGAGACAGGCCGAACTTCCGTCGAAACATGCGCCTTCCCATGAGGGTGGAAGATCTCGTGGGTTAACAGAATGAAGTCAAGTCTTGTCAACTGTTGTTCACCTGGGATTGAACATTGTTCTTGAAGATTGTGAATGTAGAAAGATTTGCCTGAGGCTTGACTTAATTGTGATTCTGGTTTCATCCTATTGTAACGGTAGTCAAGACTGGTTGATGTTCAAGTCATCCTGCATTTCCCAGGAATCAGACAAGTTGGCCTCGAGTAGCGAGTGGATACATCTCGCCATTCCAGGTGGTGAAGAGTCACAGTTTGTGACCCTCACAGTTAGTTCCTTTGTCAATTGGTCCTGGCAACAGGTCCACTCACAATCACAAACCGAGAGTCTTGGATCAGCAAATTGGGCAAATGGTTCAGTTTCAACACTATAGAGCAAGCCTTTGATGTTCCACCTCTCCATCCTTCACGAGGCTTCTCCGGGTTCTCCCTGGGTTCATCCATCTCTCGGTGGAGGCCACCTCCGGTGCCTTGAAGGGCGTGGATGTGCCCAGCGCCACCGGCCACTCTTGTGCGGAGCGCCCCATGACGAGTTCAGGACTAGCCTTTTTTGGGGCTCCTGGCCCACATCCTCGGTTGGGGTGGTTGGGGTGGGTGCCAGGGGGGTCCAACTGCCTTCTCAGGATTGGAGCTGTAGGGGCCCTAGGGCTCAATGTTGTCCCACTCCAAAGATTGGACAAACAAAGACTTATCCCAGGTCCCAGACCATCCATGTATGGAATAGTCTTCAAGCTCCCGATGTAGGTAGGTAACTATTCCATACGTGGATGGTTTGGGTATCTCCTTTTGGCCACCAGCAGGCACTGGGAAATAGAAGTACCAGGCACTCCTGGATCCGATGAACACAATGGATATGTCCCAGACATTCCGTGGGGCTGGCATATTTACCTACATTGGGGTGTTTGAAAAGGGGTCAACGGGCCAATGCAGGTATATATGTTCCGTACATGGAGAGCGTGGGGGTTGTTACTTCTTGGTGTTTTGGGTCGCACCTCTCGCCATGGTGGCATTCCTTAGTCTGGCAAGGGACGGCTGCGCTCGGAGAAAGAGTGTCAACACCTAGCCTCAGGGAGGGTCACCACAGAGGCGGAAACGAACCATAAATAAATTTGCTGATTGATTTGTTTGATATTTGATTCATATTTCTGGAACATTGACGGGACCCTAGTGGCCCCATGCAGTTCTGGCGACCAATACCAAAGGCAGTCCTGAAAGAAGATGTTTTCCTGAAAGAATATTTGTTGGGGATCCACTGGGATAGAGACTGCAGTGAAGGGCCCACTGTCTTTTTCGTGGCATACTTGGTTTGATAGCTGCGAGTGTGTGCGGGTAGGTTGACATGCCTGATTGTTCTTTTGGTTCATGTTCTTTGGTCCGAGGTCTGGCAAATCCATGATCCATCATCCCTGCAAATAGAGTAAGCTGTCATGATTTGTCGCCAGGTTTGCTTCGTTTGCGTGAGACCAAAGCGTGTCAAGCTCAGGATGTACTATCGGTCTGTGCAAATCTGAGGATTTGAGTGCGTTCTCCTTGCAAGAATAGTATCTAAAGGTAGGTGAGTCATATTTATCACGTGGTCATTTCAGTTTGAATTTCCTGACTAGCATGCTCACAATAACGCGGTACCAGCACCAACAGCCACCTATAGAACCTGAGTTGACTGAAATTTGGCATGCGGCTCGTCACGACCAGGAAAGCCTTGTTAGAAGGAGATGCTAACGTTCCGGATGCTCCAAAATGACAAAGGACAAGCTAGAGCTTACAGTCCAGCTTCTTCAAAGTGACCTTCGTGGAGTCCCATCCTCATGACCTTCTATAGGCCCAAGCGAACTGCCAAAACACAAGGATACCCAGTTCAGTCCCCTTGAAGAAGCAGCTGTGGTCACCACGTTGGACCGTGTTTGCTGCCTCCAGGCCTACTCGACCTTTCCACGACCCTCACCGGATGCTCACGACGCTTCGACGGCGCCAAGGTTCAAAGGCGATTTCCCGGGCTTTCACATGTTGCCGGGGACCTCGGAAAACGACTGGGACCCCGTTTTCGACTCAACGGCGAGGCCTTTTATCATCGCGATGAGGAAAACGGGCTTTATGGTGATGGTGGCCATTTTGGGCAGACTTTGGGACCACATTGGAAAGACACCAGTTCACTGAAAAAGCGAAGAAAGCCGAAAGGGCAGGGATCCCAGAAATATGGAGATTGTTTCACATGGCTAGGAGTCACGTCCAGCGTGTTCGGATCGATTGTTTAACTTAGATGCCTTCACAGATCTTCACAGGGATCTAAGGAGCCAGTGGCGTTTCAAAGATTCTGCAGGAAACTGAGTGATGGTTCTTGCAGACGAGGTTGTAGCTGAAGGCTTTGGTTTTGATGGTTCTGGTTTGGGAAATTGGAGGGAAGCATCAAGAGCGAGCTGTTGTAGGGGTCCAGATGGCGTTAGATTCGCTTGCATTGACACCAGCAAGTCTTGGTTGTGGCTGTTAAGGAGTCAGTGTTTTAGAATGTTTTAGACTTTGGTCAGTAGGGCGTCGGGTGGACATGGTCGAGAGCAGTCCAGGCACTTTGTGGTGAAGCAGCTCTTAAAGCAAAGAGACTCCTGGAAGAAAGAGACCTTGGACCAGGAGAGAGATTCGACAAGTGGAAGTCAATGACGAAGTCTTGTCCGCCGCATTGCAATGTCCGGGAGAGCTCTGGGACAAGTTCTCACGTGATGTTTATCGAGAGGTGGGTGGATAAGTGCAACTGGAACTCAATTCAATATTATCATATTGATTCTTTACGCCAACCAACCAACCAACCATCGCTTCAAATCAAACCCTGTGAATCCATGGCAGTCGGGTGATTCCGGGATTCGCACCGCGAAAGCGTCGCCCGAAAGCGTCGCCCCATCCATGGGACCGGACTTGGTGCGACCAGCGAGGTCCTATTTCTCGCTCAGCGGTCCCATCCCAGCCATCCGAGCACCCAGTTTCGTGAGCCGGATCCAATACGGTTGCGTCCGTGTCTCAAGTACTCAGAGGTCTGAGAAAGGTCTTGGAGGCCCGAGAGTTCCTGAGAAGACGTCGTTTAGACGGTGCTCAAACCAACAGGATGATCCGATTCGGAGGCCATCGCGGATCCAATTAAACGAGGTCAATGTTCGAACGCGTTTTTGGCAGATAGTCTTTGGTCAGACCGTGAAGTACTTTGAACATCTTTGAACACTCTTCTCCCCTCCCCGCCATTTTTTCCCCAAGGGTCAGGGGTCCTGCCCCGGCGGTGGAGAAACAAACAAACAAACAAGAAACGTGAAGTGCTGGAAAACATTCGTTGTTCGAGTGGTTATTTTCTACTTTACGAATCTTTATACCTATATAACATATAACGTACATCCTATAACATTGAATTGAATTCTTCGACCTCTAGCTTGATACACAAGTTGTTCAACTTCCCTCACAGCGAACTTCAGAAGGCTTGCCGATAGGTGTTTCTTTTTTCTCCCCACACACCAAGTGACTACTGGCGAGCCATGTTGAAAATCAACATGGCAAAACGAGTCTGTGAGCTAGTGTGCAACTTTCAGAAGCTTTTAAAGACAACTTTGGGGGTCCTTTAATTAGCAACACATACACAGTAGTAGTAGGCAAGCTCCACTACCACTTCTTGGCAGGAGTTGCCTTCGCTGCGACGGGCCAGCAGAGTCCACTTGGAACGTGTGCAGTCCGAGCTCCAGGCACCGGGGTTTCGCGTGTAGCCGCGCCGCGTGGCGCGTGGCTCCGGGTGGGTCGGCTTAGCGGGTTGAAGCCGTAGAGACCGTGGGAACACGGATTCTGTATGATCTAGGATAAATAAGATGAGGAAGATCAAGACCTGGCTAGGATCTGTGTCCAAAGATTCCTCCGAACGTGTGCTTGAGTCCAAAGTTGCGTCTCAGTTTGTGGCAGTGTTTGAATGTGTTTGAATCCTTGGCTATCTTTGCTAACCCCAAATTGTTTGCCAATCCTTGGTTCATGTTGGACGTCGTGGACCCTGGCTGCTGAACTTTAGTTTGAGAGTCTTGGTAATCTCTTGATTTTGATCTGTACCATGGCCGCCCATGCTATGTTATTTTGAGGGTCCCAGTGTGCCTGCCATCATGGCTCTATTCAACACTTGACAAACGATCTCTCCACATCATGGGACTCCATCCTTCTCCAGTTTGCCCCACCGCGAACGGCGCCAGGAGCTGCGAGGTGAATATGTCTTCGTTCAGACGGAGTTGCAGGACCATCGGGAAGACTATCACGCGGACGGGCCACTGGGACTAACGAGAACCGGAGCCGTGGAGACACCGGGCCGACCTCGGACCTGCAAGGAAGACGAAGACCGAAGACCAACCCAGTGGGCACTCATCTTATGCCGATCAGTTGGGGTGGTTTGAGGGGTCGTAGGCATATATGACATACATGGAGTGTTTGGGATATGCTATGATAAAGATGATGGCGATAATCAGAAGGCCACTAGCCTTCATCTGGGGTGAAAGGGCGCAAATGTGTCTGAGTTTCGCGAAGACCTCGAGAGGTCCAACTATGCATTATTGCCTTGATGTTCTTCCAGAGGAATGCGGATCTCAAAAATACTCAAAAACCAATCTCAACCACCTACATTGTTGTTCAATGTGTGTTTGTTTGTTGTTTTAACCTTGCAGGATAACCACCTTCATTCGTCAAATTGTCGTTCCTTCCCTTGGAAGAACGAACGCTCCGTTTTGCCGACCGCCGCTCTTTTCAGAATAAGCTTCGTAAGTACAAACCCAGTCGTCGCAATTAGGATATATTCCGTTGCCTGCCTGTTGTTGGCTTGCACCCAATTAAACATGCCTTATTCGCTCCTTTCGGTCTCACAGTAGAGTGCACTCTCTCTTCATGTTCACATTCATCCATCTCTATCTACTACCCGGTGAAAACAAGGGCATTGATAGATCGACAAGACGTCGTACAGTGCGCATGTAGAGGAAAATGGTCTTCCAGGTTCCACTTCCATGATAGTTTCAGGGAGTGTAAGTAGGTTTCAGTCGAGAGTGGCCGATGAGCTTGGATCCGAACTTGAGGAAACCAATCGGAGTCACTGGGGGGGGAAGTTGCGGAGTCACGTAATTCACAGGGCCATTCTGGCCCAAGCGGGTCGGCTAGACATAGCACTTTGATCCTCATGCACTCCACATATTGCAGATAGATCTAGATATATGGATTGTATAAGGTGTATAAGCCTAGAAGTCTAGAAGAAAGATGTCAGGATGTTGATACTATAGGTGTTGGCAGGCAAACGTCGCTGCCAACTGCGAGCGTATCCGGATTAATCCAACCCCCATGTCCTCTTCATGTTTTTTTTTTTGTTTTGCATACCTGTTCTCAGACATATGCTACACAGCCATAACTACTTTGTTTCGATGAAGCCCTTGTTATAACCCCTATGCAGATGTTTAATCCCATGCAATCTATGATCTTCACTTGAAGCCTTCCACACATAGAATAGAATTGGGTTTTCGTGGTAGTTTCTGGATCTTGACCACTTGCGAGTGCCACGCAAATGAGTATTTTTTTCTACATCCAATGATGTTTCATCTATCCAGTCATCGATCTTGGTCGCCACACACTCGGACGCTTCCAGTATAAGGTCCGAGTCTGATGACGAGGCCGTGTGGGGCCTTTTGATCCTGAAAAGGAAGACGACTTTCCTTCAGCAAAGGGGGTGAACTCCACTTCCATGTTGGTGAGTAGGAACGTCTTGGCATGATTCCCCGGTGGGGTGCTGCCTTCTACCATGCTTGGGGGTTCAAACACATGTCAAGCCAAAACCCTATATTGAGCATATAAGCATAGTAATAGTTATTAACATGTTTTTGCACATATGGGGAACGACGCCGCCAGGCAGAGTCGGATGTTAGGTGCTCAAGTCAGCGATTGCAACATGTGAACAGTTCAGGTCGGTGACCCCAATTTTAAGCATGGGTGAACTGAACATACACAGCTATGAATATCAATACATGGAAGGTACACTACTTATAACATATAAACTATACATAAGCCCAATGATTAAAAAGACACAAACACAAAAACACTTACACACCCCAGAAATGCGGACTGAATTGAAATAGCACGAGAACTGGTAGCCTGGGGGGTTTCAGTGTTGCTGAGTCACTGATTCTTACGAAATGCTTCTGAGGGTTCGTGATCTGAAGTTCTGATCACTCAGGCTTCTTAAGAGTCAGTATTTATCTCTTTTACTGTGTTGAGACCCGAATGGCTCTTAGTGAGCATCGCCGACTCTCACTTGCATTCAATGCTGACGTGAGTAGGGACTACTAATGCTGGATTAGCTGATTAGCCATAGCAAGTCTTGGCAGGTCATAATAGGCCATAGTGAGCATAGCTCTCAAAAAGTCCCCACATTTCCTCCCGGACCATAATATGGCCCTGCGTAGACCCCGCAAAAGTTCCCTCAAAAAGAGTTGCAAGAGAGTCGCCTGGGAAATCACTGTAGGAAGAGTCTATTTTCTATTCAACTTCTCGAAGACCTTCTGTTTGATTGAAGCAAACCCCGTGCCCATAAGGGGCTCGGAGCAGCCAGAAGACTTTCACAATCCAGCCCTTACAGTGCAAGCGAGGGCTATTTGCAAGAAGACCTTGCTGCCAGTTCATGCGAGTTCAGGCAGAGGAGCCCCTGGAAGAGCCCGCCAACTGGGGCTTCTTAGAGAAGCTCTTAGCCAGGCGAAACTCAGCCGGACGAAAGAACACCGGGAAAGATGTGTGTCGATAGGTGTGTATTCCCTAGGGCTCCTGGCCCATCTCCTCAGGTTCGGTGGTTAGACCCCCCTGGCACCCACCCCTGGCCCATCTTCTCAGGAGGTGGGCCAGGAGCCCTGGGGATTGGACCAGGGGAGACTCCGGGCCACGGCCATCTTCGGATCTCCGTTGGCGCAAGACTGGATGGTCAGATGAGTCATAACCCATTGATGTGCCTATTGTCCATTGTCGCAGTGGGTTAGAAGGGGATGGTCCAATGGTCATCCACTTTTGATTGGGACTTTTATGTGAGATTGAGGCTGCCACACATTGGCCTACCCTCTCCTGGCCAGCCGCGTTTTGGCTGTGTGAGAAAGACAATACAACCTCGACTGACCATGCCCACTGCCGCCTCTGTCTTTGAGTACTTTCACTGTTCGTGATGACATGCAACCCCTACTGCCTACTGGATCCTTGGTATGGGAAACGGGCTACGGCTTCTGGGCTTGTGATGTCCTCTCCTGGAAATCTAGCTTTCTTTTGGTCTTTCGAACAGCATTTGGTGAAACGGTTAATGTATACCTACATTGACCCCAAATATATACTGGTAAATATGACAGTCTCATGGAGTGTCTGGGTAGCTATCTCTCAGCCTCTTCCGGGCTGGGCCGGGATAGAGGATTCAGCCTCGCTGGACCAACGGTGCCGACAGGCCTCATCACCCCCAAACAGTCAACGGCACAGGAAGCTGGAAGGGTGCCAAGGTTTGTTTGTTCAGGAGAAACAACCACCCTGAAAGGATTCGGAAGTCTGTCACTTGTATCATGAGGTCCCCAAGTGACCTCAATTCATCGAAAAGATCACTTTGAAGAACCCAGTATATTTTATGTAGATAGGTGGAGTTCATGACAACCCAGACACTCCATGTATGCCATATATGCCAATATATGCCGTCCCAGACAGACCCCCCAGTCACACACCACCCCTGGCCTTTTCTCGGCAGTGCGGGCAGTTCCAGGCACGTCGTGTCGAGTGTTCACCTCCAACCTGGTCGCTGCAGGGGATTGGACTTCGCCAACCTCGCCGAAGCTTGGCTCCGAGGGGACGAGGCACCGAACGCCTTGCGTCGCGTTGTACTCGCATACTCCACGGGTCGTCGTTTGGGATGCTTCGTCAACGGCCAGACGTGGACGTTGGTGAGTTTCGACCTGGATGAGTTGGATGTGTATTGGAATACAGGGGCCCGGACCCCAAAGTTTTCTTTTTTCAGAATGATTTCTGTCCTTCTAACACGGTGTCTTTGGTTGTGTACTACTTTGTAGAATCATTTGGCATCGAGAGGCCATGGCCTAAATGAGCTTTAAGAGTTTTGCTCAACAGAATTTGCTGAGATTTGCTGTGTTCGGGGATGGCCGTCCAAATGATCAATCTGTTAAAAGCCACGCCCTGATGAATGTGCTTGATATTGGGCTTGAATAATTGTAGAGAATCCTCTTCCAGTGATCCCAATCTACCTTGGTTTTGCAAGTGTTTGTCCCTGTCAAGCTACTATGTGACTTAGTGACTTTCGGAGATTCAGAGTTCCATACCAATTCCAATATAAATTACCAACACTCATCCCAACCTCTCCCGTCTCCGGAAACCAAACCAAAACCACCGGACCGCTCCACACACACCAACTGAAACGACGAAGACAGACGCCCTTTCGCCCGCCCACGGAATACCGGTCGGTCGGCCAGGTCTTAGGTCGACCATACCATCCCTCCGTGGGCGGCTTCCGAGCCTTCGAGCCCCTGCAGGGCGAGGCGGACGAGACCTCCGGTTCGGTGAAGAGGGGCGGTCTCGTTGTTGAAGAGGTGAGGTGAGGTCTCCCACCTTTGAAGCTAAACTGGTGAAAAGGATCTTGAAATCCACGGGTTTGTTCAGCAAGACACGCGAACAAAAAGAACTCATTCACTAGCGGCTTCCAGGGGGGGAAACTGCAAGGGGGCACTTGTTAGCAGATTGACTGGCCATAGACAGGTACAGACAGATGCAATGTAAAAGTCTTGTGGAATTCACATTTGTACCCAGCTTAAAGAGATGAACAGTATCTTCTACGCCAAAGGAAAAGGACAAGGACAGCTCATCCATAACAAGGTGGTGTGTGTGTGTGTGTTCGAGCGACATGCGCACTTCTGTGGATTTCTGGATGGCTGAAGAGATAGGTTCACATGATACCTGAGGGATACCACGCAATTGCTGGACAGCAGCCCCCCCTCCAGCCCCTCCAGCACCTACTGGTAATGGCCATGGTATACCTTACCTAATTATGTCAAGGCATGTTTCCTTCCCAGTCTTACCCGACTATATAAACCAAAGGACACCCAGTTCACCATCGAGACATGACAAGTTCTCATTGCAACACAAAGGGGTCACTAGGATTTGGCGGCTCAACCGATACTCCATCAAAAAATGCAACAAACCATGTGCTGTCCAAAACATTCTAGAATCATGAAGCCAGCTGGTTTTCCTTTGTTTTTAGGGCAAAACACCTCGCCAGGAGGGCTCCGCGCCTCCGAGCTGGTCGGGAGCGAAAAAGTCACGGTGAGGGAGATGCGAAGAAATCCACCAGTGCCTCATTTGCCCAGTCAACCCAAAAAAGAAGGTTGAGTATGGTGAAAGCGAATGATTAGTATATTGTCAGGTTCCACTTGACTTTGGATGATGTTGATGATACGCTGATTAGGATTGGCACGAACTTGAAAGGTCCCTTTGAAGAAGCTGCTTTGTGATTGATCCGAGATGATCCGAGCGTCAGACCTATTCGAACAGTGATGTCCAAAAACTCAGAGGGTGAGCTAGACTGCTAGACAGCCAAGCTAGACTGGGGCCATGTGGGCCCCACGCATCGGTGGAGAATAGCCACAAAGCTGCGAATTGGATGGGAAGATGCTCAGTGCCAGGTGGTTGAAGAGGCTGAGAATTCAAACCTTGTCACCTTGAACACGTTGGGAGGTTCCGAAAGTTCCCAGGGAGATGCGACTTCCTCAATGACTCAAGATTGGTGGAATTGGCCCCCCACGGGTGGTTCAAGGAGTGCTCGTACCCAAAGGTGCTCGTACTCAACGTGTGGAACCGGTTCACTCGCTTCAGTGTGTGGAGCTCGGGTTGGCAATGCCGACCGGGCGAAGCTCCATGCCTGTTTCGCGCTTGAGAGACCTTTGCGACATGAAGTGTCTAATTATAGCTCCTTAGAGGTATCCAGGGGTATCCATTAAGCACCCCTGACAGGGGGCTCTGGTATAGATCGATCATTAAACTGGACCTGTGGACTGGCCACCCGGCGCAGTCTGCCCGAAAAAGATTGGTGGCAACGCTATACTGGCAGCAACGGTAACGCTGGACTGGGGAGAGCGGGTTTATTTTGCAACCACAAGCAACAGATCTCATGATGCTGTAAGTCAATTTCCGGGATCGGGATGTTGGGTTTGGGTCTCACCAAGAATATTCGGGCTAGCTGACCAGGGACTGTGAGTACGTGTTTTTTTCATAGAACATAGAAACCTGCAATTGTTTTTTGCAGGAAACCTGCCCCTGTTTCAAAACCATTGTCAGCAGATGGTCCAAAAGAACGCCACGTGAACTGAACTCTTGAGGTCAGACGGAATCCACGCAGAATCGGGCAGAATCCTTGGGCATTCCGGAGGCTTTGTGTCGAACACCATCGACACGGCACATGTGGTTCCCCTCGGTGCCGTGCGGTGCCGTTCCTTCGCCGTCGTCGTTGACCGCACGGCATGGCACAGGTTGTGGCTCCAACGTCCCTCCGGGCGGTGGCAGCGCTGCTGGTCCGAGGCACCGAGAAATCGTTGAAAGCACCGGGTGAGGAGGTGAGGAGAGAACGGGGCTGGCGGATTGCTTTGGGAGGACCCGGACAGATCTGGGACACCCGTGGACTGGAGCGAATTGGCCGAGTATGCACTGAACTTCCGGATCTCTGAACTGAGATTTCCTGATCATCTCTTTGTTCATCACTTGTTTCACCTTCAAGCACGGCCCGAACAGTTCGCTGTACAGGACCGGACTGTGTGCGAGACCGGTCTCAGGTGCGTGGACCCATTCTGGTCTTGTACAAAGTCGAGCTCCATCAATGCTGCCGCCTGAGACGAGTTGACGGGCTCAAGCCCGAGGTTTATGTGGGAGGTGCGGGAGGTACGAACCCCCGACTGGATGGCAAGCTCTTGATGGAAACTGCGAAAGGTTGCCCAATGACTTGTGACTTCGAGGGAGAGGGGGGCGGGTATGGTTTTTGGGATCAGCTTTTGCATCACCCATCACCCAGATTGTGTGAGAGAAGATGAGAGAAGAGACCAGCACAAATCCAAAATCAGGTGAGAGTTGCGACAAAATGTCTGCAGGGGTGCAGAAGTTGCCATTTCAATTTTGCAATGTTGCGAAGCAAACACTCCGTTGCCAGACTTTCAGTGAGTCAAACGATGAGGTAGACAGAGATATGAGATATGATTTTGCTCTATACCAGGGGCCACTCCAAACCAAGAAGATCAGAGGTGTTTTAATTACTCAGAAAGAGCCAATGCGCTTTTTTATAATGTGTTTTTGATCTATTATGATCTATTCCACGTGCTCAGACGGAACAGGATAGCTTGGGTGCTAAGGTGTTGGCGCCACTTATGTGGCCTTGCCAGGGGCACTGCTGGGCGACAGTGTCAACAAGGTCAGTGGTCACAGCTGGCTGAACATCTCAACAAAGAGGGAGAACATTGTCAGTTGTTGTACGTCATACCAGTGTTGCATGGATTGGTTTGGTTATGTTGGCCGGTTTAATTATCCTGTTTTTGTCTTAGAGGTGTTTTGTGTACATTTGTGTACTGGTCGTACAGTACTACTGATGAAGTCCACATGTTCCAAGAGCTGCGACAAATAGCTGGGAAGGACAGCTGGTGAACGACCAGTTGCTGTGCGATGGTATATTTGAATATATGTGATTTTACTATGGAATCAGATGGAATCAGCAAAGGGTTGACAAGAAGAGCCTAAATCAATCCTCACCATTTTAGCATGCTGAATCTAACATGCTTCGCAGTTGGGGGCATGACGAACATGGACCACTTTGGCTCAGTTTGGGTGAAACAAAGCATACAACAAAGGACACCCTTAAATTTACTCAGACCTGGGGAGAACCTCTCCCACTGAACAGGTCCAATACTAAGGTCATTTCAGATTGTTAACGTTGTATTCAAGCTTGACCAGATTGGATAATTGTAGGTCACCATTTTCCATGGACTTGAAAGCTTCACCCACAGACACCCCAGTATCGAAATCGTGGGTTTCGTGGTGTTGAAAGAAAACCTTCTGCAGCATCGTTGAAACACCAACTGGCGGCCCTTGACCTGGCTCTTAAGGGCCTAGCACGTTCCTTTCATCCGCAGTAATTGACTTTCCACCTTAAGACTGAAGTGGCATCGTGGGTAATATATGTGGGTATAACATGGTATAAGTCATGGTATATACATAGTGCCCCAGCCACTGGTTTTCTCCTGGCCAACTCACTGGCTGCCTCTCTTTGGAAATCACGGGTCGCGGTGGCCGCTGGCGCGGCGCAGGATGAGGTCCTGGCCCAGCGAGAGGAGGAACTGTTGGTCCCAAGACCAGGGGGTTCAAAGCAGTTCGGCCATCGGTTGAAGAACCCGACTGCTCGACTAGGTCGACAGGGTGCCCGACGGGTTCTTCAGGTCAAACCCTATTGGTTCAGGCTCTCCTACTAATGATATACACCCATTGGTAGGATTTTGTGGGGAGAAACATTGCTGTACTTGCAGATGGCAAACTTCTTCATTGCGAGACTCGCTCGACAGCGCAGGATGGCGAGGCTGGTGAGGCACCAGTGGCGGTGATTTGGGATTCGATCTGCATGGGGAACCCTCAAAGACCTGGTTTTTCTATCCCAAACACTCCATGGAACCCTTTTCAACCACCGCGATGTAGGTAAACATGCCGCACGGGCCATTGCCATACATTCTTGGAGTATTTGGGGCAGCTAGATGCTTTCATTCTCTTCTGCCTCAGGATGACCTCGTGACTGATGGGCAAGAAAAACATAGAAACACATATTAACCATTATATAATACAAATCCAGGTGTTATTCAAGGTCAGTTTGTTTTGGTTTTAAGATGTTTCAAGTGTATGGTATATAGGTTACACAACCGGTACATTGATATTCCCTTGCAATTATTTAATTGGCGTATGGTTTCCTACACCCCCACTGTATTTGGATACTAGTAGGGAACTATATATATATATATAGAAACATATCATGCCCAGGTTACATTGGCCTACCATTAAACTCAGACTGGAGGGTGACCCCATCAATTCAGAAGTCAAGTTCAAGGATTCGAGGATCAGTTCTCCCCCCACTTTGGGTCGCCTCTATACTCTTCACACCATCTACATTTTGCTCGCTGGGCGCCAGGATGCCGCGCTGGGGAGCCGAGGTAGATGTTGAACTACCGTCTTATTCACTGACGTAGAAGGGCAACCTGGGTCTGGGACACTGGGAAGACAGGATTTGTTCTGGAGAAATCAATTGGTGTTCGATGGTTTTCCGCGAGTCGCCTGTAATAGGGGCTTGTAGTTTATACAAAGAGACTTCCCCAACCCATGAGTAAACACTTGAGTTGTTCGTGTACAAAAAGAACAGGTTTGTGCGAACACAAAGTTTTGTATGGTGAACAGAGAGGCCACCTCCCAGGCAACGACCCGTGGAAGAAGGAAGAATTGATCAGTCTACCTGGCTGGGAGCCTCTCTTGCAAAATACGCAATGGTCAATCGCACCCTTTGGACATCTGTAATTAGGTCCTTCCAAAAGGCACCATTTCATGGATCGATACTATTCAAGGAACATTCGAGGTATATAAATGGACAAGATTGTTCCATGAAACCATTGGAAGAAAACACTGTTGCATACACCTCCTGGTCTTGCCGCAGCTGCCTGAACTTTTGACATGTCAGACTGTCACTGTTTGGAGTCGCTATCTCCTGTGAAGGTACTATATTGTTGGTCAAGTGTTTCCTTATAAGCAGGACTTGACTCGACCCAAGAATTCACGAAATCAGGTCATGAGTCCATCGTTGAGTTACCCTCAAAACTTGTGCTCGTTCCATACCTCCACCCGCATTTATCTTGAGGATACGAGGCCTAGGCAGGGCATGGGCCGCATGAGCCGAACTTCCAGCTCCAATGGAACGTGTTTGGCATGTGGAGTTTACCTCACAGCAAGTCCAATGTTCCAAAGGTGAACCAGAGGCTGGAAATGGAGAACAAAAGAGGAATGCTGCAGGGAAATTTGAGATTAGATTCTTCCTGGCTTCGAGCGAAGCGCCTCTACCGAGATGCCGCATGCCTTATACCCGAAGCACTTGGTAAATTAAACATCCTCAGTAAGTTGTTCATGCTGTTTCTACCTTGTGGTACATAGTTTTATGGGATACCCCTTGGCTTGTTTGGACTAAAGGGACGGTCCTTCACCTCCTCAAGGCCCTTGTTTTGCTGATTTGCTCAGAGAACCCCTTCGTCCATTTCAATCCCCAAGCTGTCGTGACCTTGATAAAGTCATGAACAACTGGTGGAACATCTGAGACGGGTTGGGGCTTCCGAGCGGAGCCTACCGTTCGAAGATTTCTGTGGCTAAGGCCGGCTTCGGCCAGCACCAGTTTCGAGTTGATCACCACCGGAGAAAGCTGGTGGAACCCAGTGGGTGCTGGGTGTTGGGACGAGGCTCAAAAGCCTTGGCTAAACAGATTCAACATATCACCCCCTGGCAGAACCCTCGGCAAATCCACTTGATGGATTCGCTGATGGTTCTGCCAGGGTGATTCGTTGTTTCACTGTTTGAACCAGGTTGGCAAGTCATGCACAGATCTTTGGTGCAGAATGCTTTGAGCACTCCAATTACTCGTTTGGTGCCGGGGAAGGCTAGCACACTTGGAACTTGTCAGGTTCAACACGAACCCATGACTTTGGACCCTGGCAACTGCCCTTTTCAGACGCCTTATAAGGCTTTGGTGAAGCAACAGCATGATCCGTTGCAAGGTTCAGCCATGTGTGGTCCCAGGGGTCATACTGAGTCATACCTATCACTGGTGTTCTCGTTCTCAAGATGCCACCGACCAATGTCTCACGAGTCGACCAATGTGCAAGGCTGCCTTGTTGAGGCATTGCTATTGGATGATTAGAGTTTGGATGTCTTTGTACATCAAAAACACCTCCCTTTGTTTTCCCTTTTTGGAGCTACATCCCTCTTTGAGGTGGTGCGCTTTTTCGCATGGGACTTGTAGAAGGATTGCCTTTTGTCTCACATTCCATTCGGTATCTTGGACTGTCAGAAGTGGGAACTTGGAAGACCATGCATCCTGGAACAGATCAAGTACTGGTTTTGAAGGAACATCTACTGATACAGTATTTCCAAGGCGGCAATTGGTTTGTACGGGTCTTGGGCACAAGGAAGTGCTAGTTTGAAAGCGAGGAGTCATGAAATGCAAGAGGTGACGTGCGGAGAAAAAGGCGGCCTCATTTGGACAAGCTCAGATGTCACCAAGTTGTTTGGGCCTGACCCAACCAACCTTTCCGGGCTACACGGACAAAAACCAAAGAGGGAGGTCCGATCAGCCCCACCCTGTGACGAATCGGATCGGGGCCGAGCAGGTGGAGAGTAAGTGGCGGGGGCGGACTTGGGCGGACGCATCATGATACTGAAGATGCCTCAATTGGCCTGAGGGAACTCAACTCAGTGCCAGCTGCCATTGCTTTGCTATGGGCTTTGTCCAGGCACCAGGTCAAATGTTCCGACTTGAGTGACTTCCCAGCATGGAATCCACGGAGTGGTCGAGGATCCGCACCTTTTTTCACTCCAACCAACCACAGTCTTTCTGTCGCCATTCCTGCCAAGGGCTCCCTCCCCTGCAAAGCATTGCAAGGAAAGGAAGTTTGAAGTTTCCAAAGCATCCGTAGGAACCAAATCATTAAGCCTGAGCCCTTTTGCGTCCTGCCAGCGACCCTCAGCGTTGTAGCTTCTCCCTACATCCCTCCAACCGATTCATCGGGGGCCTCCGCCCCACGTGTCGCGCCTGTCGCGCTGCGGATGAGGCTCCGGGCGTCTCCTGCGGCTGAGGGCCTCCTCCAAGAAGCAAGCGGCGCCGGACGAGCCCAGAAGGGAGACGGCCGTGGTGTTGTGGAGGCATTGAGCCATGGAAGCGTGGAGGTCAGACATGGTCAAGGCTTAGCTAGAAAGCATCAAAAGAGAGAGGGGTCCCACAGCTACATAGACTACATGGATTAACGCACATGTGATATATAATGTGTACGAGACCAAACCCTGAAACCATGGGATTTGTTGGACATGTGACATGCTTGGTAAAGAGTCCACGACGATTCCCTAGTGGGGATTTGTGTAGCAGCGTAGGAGGTGTCTGGTTTAATCCCTCCATACAAGGACTGACAACCAACCAGGCCTATTGTTCTAACATGTGCATGTTTTGTGTCGAAACCAGGAGGCAAAACACATATATTCGCGCGAGTTCACGCCTCCAGATGATGTGTAAAATAACGTCAAATGCTGAAGGTTTCTGATCGGAAAACAAAAACATGTCAGAGGTTGTCGGGCGTCAAATCATTGAACTTCTGAACTCCATGTGAGCCTGGTGCTGGTAGAGTGGTCTCATGACCTTGGACCTTCAGAAGTTGACCTTCAAGACATTGGATGTTGCAGGGTACCACTAGGACCATATCCCCGACCTCTCCGACCAAGTCTGGGAGTTTCTGGGCTATGGCGACCCTTATCCCATCTTATCCCAAAACTGGGGTTCATGAGTGGGTTCATGTTGCTGGCTAAGCCATTGTATTGTTCTGTTTTAATGGTTGTCAAAATGTATCTGTATCACTGCTGGCTCGGTCTCGGCCAAGTGCCACAAGCCACCAACACCAGCTGGATTCTTAAAAGACAGAGATCGGTTTATAGATGTCACTCACTGACCTGGCTTTCTTGCATCTGGAAAGAAGACGAAGAACTGAATCCACTGAACACGACTGAACACGACTGCTATGCACAGAAAATGAAAAAAAGGGAACACCACATTCTTAAGCACTGGGTTTGCTTTAAGCCAATCCTCGCCAGCCCTCCGAGTAGAGGACGCCAGCCCTCCGGAGCCTTTCGGGCATAGCTCCGAACGGGGCGACCCTGGCCTTACGACGAACGGGGCTTGCTCCGTTCGCCTTTTTCAGGTCCTGGAAGTCGGTCCTGGAGGAAGTGGCCAGCCGTCCAGGTGCGATGGAAGTGTCCAACGTCCCTGGTGGGAAAAGCTTGGACCGCGTCAAGCGAAATGCGCCCTTTTCGCTTGTTTGGGGTTTGACCTGAGAAGACAGGACGGCTCCGGATGTAGACAGGACGGCAGTGAAATCCAACTGACTGGAAGGCACTTGGGGCATCATTGGGCCAATACTCCAAGATGGATCTTGAGGAAGTTATTTGGATCGGTGGTTTGGTCAAATCCTGTTTGTTTTATTTCGTTGTACACATCGGCAGAAGCTAGTAGCTGCTGCCTGCCACGTCAGGCGCTGGCTACTTGACCGTGTCAGGTCTGGTTCTCAGCCCCGTGGAACTGTCGGGAGATTGTTCACGTGAAGCCTGTGAACATTTGTGGACATGGAAACATGTGTTTGTTACTTCAACAACCTAGGCAAGTGCAAACTAGACATGACATGTTTTCTTTGTCCATCTTTTTTTCCCAATCTGGAATATTGAACAGAACATAAAGAACTCCTCTACATCCCTCCAAGGAGGTTGGCTGCATTGCAGCTCCACCCTAACTTGCGAAGAAAAACGTAAAGAGAAGAGCCTCGGATAATTTGATTTTGGGCCCAATATCACCGATGCTGTGGGTCAAACCCAATCCTCAAACCTAATCAGAGCAGATGTCAATGATCCATGTATATATAGATGGAATTGACAAAACCACCTGAGTCTTGTGCAAGCTCTGCATCCATCGGACACTCGTGCAGCTTCATGCTCCAAAAGCATGTCCCAGTTGACGAGGCTGTGTGATCCAATGGGTTGGACTGGCATCCATTTAATAAAACATAAAAAAACAACATTTGTTTGTGTATTATAGTCATAGTGGTATAGTAATGTATTATATATATTATATATATATATATTCTATATATTGTGTATGTGTGTGTGTTCCCTCAGTGGGAAGGATTTTCGTAGTCAGACATCTTTTCAACACCCTCTCACAGGTCACGGAGAACTTGGAGTTGGCATTTCGTCCTGGTGCATGTTGATGGGAGCGGCTTTGGAGCTTTTGGACAAATGGTTGTTCACCTTGTCTTCAAGCCATCAAAGTGTGGCTAGCATGAGCTGGGCTTTCTTTATAATTATGGCTTTGAACCTCAAGAAGCACAAAAGGTTTTGCCCGAACAGGTTGCACCAGCAGCGAACATGAAGGAACAACATGCCATACTTCGCTGATTGTGGCTAGCACTTCAGACAAAATACTGGCCGGAACTTCCGAAAACCGTTCCAAAGTTGAACGCCGAAACATGGCACTGCCTGCCTTCAGCGCCACCTGCGGTGCTGCTCGCACTCGCGGTCTCGTGGTACCTTGGAGTTGGTCGAGCTGAAGTGTTTCCTCATGTTTGCTCGGGTCTATAGAGCCTAGCTGAGGTGTCGGTGGTTGGGGATTGTTGGGGATGGTTGGGGATCAGGGAAGCGCACAGAGATGTGACAATCATCGAGACAAGGTCTCGGAGATGTGACAAGTGACAAGGAATGACAAGGATGTCCTGAAGTTGTTGTATCAAAGTTTTGATCGATGTTGAACAAAAACGACCTGGCCTTCTCCATTGTGTCATGATGTTCATGTTTTCTGGCATGCTTTCTCGTATCACCACAGGTCCAGGTCCAGGTTCAAGTCAGACCTCCCGGCGGCTCGGCTGTTTGGCCAGCCGACCACCCCCACGCAGCAGGTCACACCGCAGACATCACGTCTGCACACGGGGCCTCCGTCTTCGCACGCGCCCCGCGGCGGCGTGGCGACTGGATGGAGGTCGACCCGGGCCCCGACCGAGTAAATCGGCGGTCCGATGGGAGTCAGAGTGTGCCGTACATTCCAGTGAGCCTCGAACGTACAGGCCCCCCAAAAGCAAGGGTGTTCAGTCAAGGAAACGGCTCGGCATGCATTTCTTGCCATGTTTCTGGAAGCCCAAGTTGATTGATTGCCAGCCCGAAGGTTCTAATATGTTCTAATGTACCTCAAGGGCACTGTTGAAGGTGCTTTTGGTCCCTCCAAAATGTTTTTTAGGCGTCGCTGGAATGTATGATTTTTTGGATCAGAAGTTCGTGGAACATGCCCACACCACTCACCTGTACTATCCTGTACTTCTTGTTTTGAAGAACTTTCTTAGGCACGACCTCAATTTGTTGTGGTCATTGACAAACGTGCTGTGATTCTGATGGAGTTGCTGAATGTAAGTGAATGTTAAACTGTTATACCCTTACTTGTACGTTTGCTGACTGCAATAAAGCATACTTTGACTGTGTTTTATTTTATTTTATGTGCCTTGCGTTTTGTTGCACGCGTCTCAGAACATGTTCCATCTCAGCATGCCATGCGAAACCGTACGAAATCAGGAGATGTGTTTCTTCCCTTGCAAAAAAGAACGAACCATCAAGCTAGGAGAAACATGGAGAAACCCAATCCCTTTGGCTACACGTTTGGCTCCTTGGAAGTTGGGCCAGCCTGGCTTTTTGCGTTGCAACGAAAACACTTGATTGACGCAACTGGGCACGGGTCCCGAGTCCCGTGGGTTCCAGACCCCAGTGATGGGTTGGCACCTTCCGGCAAGGCACCAGGGCGCCGAAAACGCCGTCGCGCCCACCGCAGGTGGTTCGCCTTGTGGCCAGCCTTCACGCGCGCCGCGTGCCGTGCGAAGAGTGCGTGCCGAGCCAGGCGGGGGGGGAGGGATGGAGCCATGGAAACTGCGAGCCCGTTTCACTTTGGAGCCGGTTGATCTTCAAGTAACAAGGTGCATCGCCACTAGCAAGGACGGGGATTTCCAGCCGGCTGGTCATTTTCAGTGGTCAACCAGGGTTGCCCAGTGTTGACCCACAAAGATGGAGACCTGCAGGAGCCCAAGAAGTTTAAGACCTCCAGTTCCATGAATGATATGAATGGAATATGAATGGATGGTGGTAAATGGAAGATAGGGGTGTGCCATCAAAATCATCAAATGCCAATATCCACTCACTGCATGATCCAGGAAGGTCTATCACATCGCAATACGGGGTGGGATAGCATGGGGTGAGTCTTAATCAACAGTCAAAAGGATACCCTATAATACCCTATAGTATTCCAATCATGGTGTTTGTTGGGGAGGCTACAAGGCCGACGTCAATCTTTCTTCTATTGGTCTTGGAAGGCTAGGGTACAGCTTCGGGAAATGGTTGAACAGCTTTTGATCCAGGTTGCTTGTTCCTGAACATCATCAATGATCTGAGAGCAAACGGGTGTGTGAGTCGCAGATCTTTTCGGACGTCGGAGGTGGTGACTTGCACATTTGAACATGCATCCAGGGGTAGACCAGTCCAGGCAACTTCGCACAGATGAGCAAGCAACGTGCACATGTAAATCACCTCAAGCCTGTATTTAACAAACCAAATTGTGTTTTCTTGGACTTGTTTTGATGACATCCACAGAATGATTGAACTGGACCCAATGAAGAGTTTGTTCAGCACGGTTTTGTTTGTTTGTCAAGAATAATCAGAAGTTGGGGGGGCACCCGGGCATACTTCTTTTTCCTCTCACGTCAGGTGGAGTGCCTACAACGCCGGGCACGGGGTGGAGCTCAATGACGATGAGAACGTCGCGAAACGCAAGGACACCTGGCAGGCAGAAGGAAAGACTCAACACACAGGATCATGCAGTGGATGCATCGTTTTGACAGCTCAGCTGTTCGATGAACTGACTGATGCACTTGTTTTAGCTTGACCAAACATCCGAACAACAGAACTGGAAACCCTGACTTGCTGCGAGTGGTACTCTATTTACAAGATCATTTTTGGAGAGGTGCGGAGACACAAACAAATGCAACAACTTAGTGGTGTCTTGTGATGTTCTGTATGCTTTCTGGTGCTCTCCTTTTGCATGTGCAGAGGATCAAATCCAGTCCAAGCCAGTTGCACCTTGCAAGAACCAATTGAGGGTGGATTCAAGCCGAAGGATCAACGAATTCCAGCAAACAAACCAGTGCTGCCAGTAATACAGGTGAAAGCCAGCTTGCAGGTCAACCATCCACGAGTGATTGAAACAACAATAAACTTGAAGAAACATAGAACCGATGAGCCACCCGAGACTGCGGATGTATTCACTTGGAAGGGGTCCCTCCCTTTTTGAGAAAGTCCAGTCATTGGATCGTGCAATCCTCTCGCGGGGCGGTGTTTTTTTGTTTTTTTATTTGTTGGAGGTGGACCATCATACGCGTTGTTTTGATGTTTTTTGCGTCAGGGTGTGTCGATTCAGGCAGCGTTTCACCCGCCTGGAGCCTTTCAGCCTGTCCTTTTTCAGGTTTGCCTGGCAGGTGACCTTGAAGTCTTGAAGGCCATGGTGAACAGTTCTTTGCGCCCCACCACACCGAGGATCACTACAGCCGTGCGGAGGGACACTGCATCGTGGTGTCCGACGACCCCGTCCAGTCGAAGGAAGGGCCTGGAGGGCGGGACTATTACGCGGAAATCAAGATGGAGAGCCTGGGATTGGCACGGAAAGCGCATTGGCCCAGCGCATCCCAGCGCTGCGCTGACGGATTGGAATTACCTTATCTAGTTGGTTGAACAAGTGAGTGGGATCCCCTGCAAGATTGTTCGGGGTTATGGGTCTCCGCACTAAAGAAAAGGTATTGAAAAGGTTACTGTAATTTAGCTATTAGTCCAGGGAAACTGCAGGGAGTGAGTTGGTGGGTCAATCTTATGTGCATGGACCCGGAAGAGAGCAGGTGGATCAATCCAACAAAGAGCGCACGAAGTACGCAAGTCACCCAGGTTGTGGACAAGTCCAAACGATGGCCACTCCACCAAAGGCTCACTCTTATTGTTGCACAACTAGCAGTGTGTGGATTACAACAAATGCAACGCATTCCCCCAAGCTCAACCCCAAACAGATTGAATCCCACAAGACTTGATGGCCAGGTGATTCAAGCCGTCTCCTCTCAGGTGGTTCAAGCCTCCATCTCCCCCGTCTCTTTCCTCCGCTATGGAGCCCAGCGTGGTGGGCGTGCCCACCAGCGCAGCCCCGCCTGCGCCGCCCGCGCGCGCCACGCCAGAGATTGAGGAGAGGCTGGTGCAGCTGATGGCTTCGATGGAGCCCTTAAGGCGGAAAGATTGTGATTGGCATGTATGGTGGGTAAAGTTTGGTTTAAGTATACATCAATATCTATGTGGAAGATGGATTGTGAAATACCTGATTGACCTGATTTGATGTGAGTGCAAGTTTCTTTGCTAAACCTGTGAAGCAGGAAAGAGCCTGTTCAGGGATTGTAAAATTTCTGAAAAGGGGCTGACATCATGCACAGACAGCTTTTGC